GGGGACCTGAGAGGCTTTTCTCCAAGACTTGGGGACCTGAGAGGCTTCCTGGCAGTGATTGAAATGCCAGAACCTACCAGGACCCCCTAAGGGGTGTCGATTGATAGCCCCGAAAAGAGGTGGTCCTGGGGTCCTAGTATACTGTGGATTGAGAGTAGGCACCCCAGTCGAGGTCTTTGATATAGGGGGTCCATATCAAACACGGACCTTGGGGATCGCGTTTCTCCCTCTCAATCCGCTGTATAGCACCAGTGGGCTGCGGCTAAGGAGGTCAACACCACTCAGGTCAACCAGTTAGCCTAGCAGAGATGGGTCAACAGACCGACCAGTTGAGGTCAACCGGTCAACACGGGAGGTCAACCCTCCAAGTTTTGGACCCACAGCCGAACCTGAACATGGCCTCTGTAAGGGAAACGAGCATTCACAATGTGGTTTAGAGAAACTCTTCCAGGGCGTACCCCCTCTGCATAGATCCAGGGAAGAAAACAAACACTTCACCCGTGATGTGGTGGGCTGATGACAACTCATTGGGGGCTCCATATTCATCTGCAGGGGAGCCAGATTTGGTGATGTGATGTTCGACGAACTGGGTCAATGTCCTCCGGGTTGGTGGGGCTCTGTATACCTGAGAAAAAAACAACACATCCAAAGTCTTAAAGGGAAAGTAGGACTTCACAGTCTATGGGCAACTTTGCTTTCATCCATGAAAGAAAGACTTTGGGACTGCATTTTGATATACATATTGATGCATTTGGTCTCCGTGATCTGATTCAAACATGGGATCACGTGAGAAATCATCTCGCGATGAACCCAGTGCTGAAGGTATTCCAATCAAGTCATCGGGTCTCTACTCCTGGCTGCGGACTGGACGTCAACAGGCACCCCACGGCGACCGTCGGTGACCTCGGTCCTGCTGACATTCTTTGGCATGGATCTGCCATGCCAACTTCAAGTCCACCGCACGCACACGGTGTGCCAGGCGCCTCACCGGCGCACTGACTGGCGATAGATGATTCACAGACCGAGAAACCGAACTGAACAGTGATTTTCATGAGTTATGAACACTTCTGAATCCCTGAAGCATTCAGAAACATGGCTGCCTACTTCAATTCACCGGATCCACCGAATTCGTGGATTCTCCAACATGAAACCTTCACAAAACGCACCGCACCGCGCTCCAACAACCGTTCCGCTCCACCGTCGCACGGACCGTCCCGGCAGAACCCGCCTCTCACGCGAGCTCGTGGAGCCCGCGTCGGAGAAGTTGGTGTCGTCCCCGTCCTGGGGACGAGCTGCCGGCCCACGGAGGGATCGGTGGGGTAGGTGAAAGCATGGTGAAGGCGTTTTGGTTCAACACAACTAATAAGCATGAAAAAACAAACAACGAATCAAGCCATGTCATGTTGGTTGGAACACATGACATGGAAACCAAAGAAAGCAAGCCCAGCTGTAAGCAGATCCTTTCCAATCTGGAAGTGGGTCTATCCATCCCTAGATCACTAGAGGATGTAGTGGGATGATTAGTCACAAGATAAAGGTTCCATTCATGTTCACTCCACAAGCTGCTGCTCATTTTCCTCAAGAGCTGTGTCCGGCCCGGCCGCATCCAACTGCGACGCTTTGATGCATTTAGCACCCCTGCATCACTCAAAACCCATAGAATCTAGATGTCACAAAAACTTGGCCACAATCGGATTGTCCGCGTGACCATTGTTCAAGATCCACCTTAGACGGGGATACACACGATTTATCAGCACGATGAATTCATGCAAATCCAAGATGTTACTCAATGCATTGTCAAATATGACTCAAAAGAATCCAAGAACACAATTTGTACGTTCACATGGACCTTTGAGCCAAGTTGCAGCTTGCGGGCATTCCATGCCGATTGTGAGATCTTCTCAGCCACCATGCCATCCCTCCTTGCGACTTTCCAAGCAACACTGTATACCTGAGATCAGGTGAAGTTTCTACGTGTGAGTTGGGTTGATCCAGGGGAATGAACGTGTTTTGATAGGTGTTTAATGGCATTCAAGGGGATGAGCTAACAGGATTTTGTATATGGGACGAGCTGCACTTCGAAGCTTCTTCAACAGCTCTTCCTGTTCCGGAGCCTCGTTGCTCTTGGGCTTGGATCTGCTCTTCGGCTTGGTTGGCTTCTTCACCTTTGCTTTGGAAGCACGCTTCGGCGCAGCTTGGCCTTTGGGCGAGGCCTTTGCTTTGGCAGCATGCTTGGGCCTGGCTTTGCCCTTAGGTTTGGCTTTTGCCGCAGACTCAGCAGCTGAGTCCTTTGACGAAGGGGTAAACTCCTTTGGCATTGGGATCTCGTTGTTCACGACCATCTTCAGGTAGATAAGCTTCAGGCGCATCTCCTCAGAGGTAGCGTGCAACTCCAGTGCCTCAATCTCTGATTTCATGTAGTCCTCAATCTTCTTGTTAGGGTCACCCGCCTCCTCCGGTGAGTCAGGGATGATCTCTGTATCTGACACTTCACCTTTGGCTTCAGCTGTGCTCCCTTCCTTCTTCTCATTGGCTTCAGCCGGGATCTCTTCTTTCTTC